AAAGGCTTTTGGGTAGCCGAGGCTGCAGAGTATCGAGTTTCGCATGGCCCGCATCGATTTGCACGCGGCGCAGACGGAGATCCAAACGCTGAAGGCCCGAAACTGCGGGGGGGCTGTCAAGGGAACATCATCTGATCTTGTGGTGGCTTAAGGTGTTCTTATTCTAATATTTGTCTATATATATATATACACATACATATTGCATTCAGTGGCTTTTTTGGTCTTAGAATCTTTCAACGGGGGGCGGTTCCTTTGTTGGAGGGCGCTCCAAGATTAGGTTTGCATAGGGCTGTGTTTTGAGACGCCGAAAAGGAAGATCATGTATACCACGGGGTGCTTTCATGACTTTTGGTCAGTGATTTTTGAGTTGGGGGCTTCCTGTATACAAAACCAAGATGATTTGGCAACCCAGTTCAAAATCAAGCAGCACAAAGGAAAGCCCATCTCACCCTGTTTCCCTTAACGAAACCCGCCGCAATCAAGGCGGCCAGTCCATATTTCCCTTTGGCCACTGGGAAGTGACTGGAAGACAGCGCCCCACCTTGGCCGCTCCCTGCTTAAACATGTTTAAACAGCTCACTTAAGAGGCTAGACCACTACGAACTTGTTGTTTTGAGTACCTTACAACCTTCGGATGACTTGCGACCTTGTAGCTGAAACAGCTTCCTTTTGGTTCTCCAAGGGCACCAGAGACTGGTTGAATCAAATCTTGCCAAACTTCGGGCACGAATCGACCGAGAAGAGGGGGTGCCTTATGTCCAACATCAAGGGTGGTCCTGCTTGTTCAGCGGGGACCCTTGAAGCTTACACCTAATCACCTACATGTACAAGCGCTTGGAAGAGCTGGTTTTAATGTGGCCACAATGTATCCTTTGAGAAACCCTGCTTGGAAGACCTTTTGGGTACTTAGCCAACTTTCATTGACTTCGGGGTATTCCTTGTTTTCCGGATGTTGTTTGCATTACTTCTTTTCGGCCGGGTTGTTTTGTAACAAACGGGGTGGTGTTTTCCAAAGAGTTAGTTGCCCTTTGAAAAGGACGAACCCCTATGAACCCCGTCAACGTGGGAACAACATCAAACACAAACGGGTCCAAATTCAATGGGCACCGATCCCTTCCTCGAACCCCCTCTCCTCAGGCTGAGTTCCGGAACTCACGCTTCACTTTTTGGGTTTGGACCTTTTTTCGTGCTTTAAAAAGACCAAACCGACCCAGGGACCCAAGCAGTGAGTTGTTCAACTAATCAACCCAGGGTGCTTGCGCTCCAAGAGAACCAACTCCCCGCGCCGGGCGCGTTCGGCCAGGACCGCTTGGACCAGAAGGAGGCCGCCTTGCAGCAGCTCAAGGCCCAGCAGAAGCACCACGCCGCTCTGGCGCAGCACGGGCACAAGGCACCGCAAGCCCCGCACGACCAGCGCGACCGACAAGCAGAGAGCCGGACCCCCCGTGTTTTTGGTGGTTTTACGGGGAAACCACCAAACTGAGAAGGCCACATGTGTACTTGTAAACCTGCAAAACCATGGTATAAGTCAGTGCAAACGTAATTTGAGCTGCCCACTCCACCCCCCCATTGTCCATTGCCATGTCTAGAAATAGCTTGCTGTAAGCATCATGTTGATTCTGCTTCTGGGGGTCCAAGTGTTTTGATACTTTTCGGCAGACTAAGTTCCAGAATCGTATTGCTTTCTGCGTCCTGTTGGCCACTTTCCTGAGGATGTACCTCTGATTTGTTCAATCCTTTGTCCAAGGCCTTATCGTTCGTCATGCAGGGAAATGAAAGCCAACTCAACTCACCACAGGCCAACAACATGCTTAGCCCCTTTTACAGGTGCAATAGGTTTCTTGCCGGTTCTCAGTAAAAGTGCGCTGTGAGGGGGCCCAGGCTACCTCAGTGCAGTTTGCCTGAACCATTCTTGCCAGGACGAATCATTCAGAATCCCAGGAACCACCCTGTGGTTCCCTTGTGTCTGTTTTAGTTTGAGGGGTGTTATGGATCAACTATCAAAATCCAAAAAAACTATCAACATCAACTATCAAACTCAACTATCAACTATCAAAAATCAACTATCAAAAATCAACTGTCAAAAAGTCAAAATCAAGAATCAAAATCAGCTATCAAGAACGAATGCCATGAATTACCCACCACTTGGCATCTGGGTCTGGCCCGCAGGAGCTGGAGATGGAGGAGCCCCAGTTGGGCCGCAAGCACCGGGAGGCCTTTGCCGCCAAGGCCAAGGAGATCCGGGCGGGGACTCATTGACAGGCGGATGGTTGAGGTTGGGTTTCCAGTGCTTAGTTGCCAGATTGTCCTTCATTTGCTGAAATGAATATGTGTTGTTATTTTCCCTTGTTGGTTTTACAGTTTTAAAAGGAATTCATCACTACTGGAAATATGTTTAGTTGTTTCCAGCTAGGTGCCCTTTCTCTCCCCTTTTTTGGGTTGGGAGGGGGAACCCCCTACTAAAATAGACAAATGGGAAAAAGTTGGTACCAACTTATTCTAACCTCTCCACAGAAGGACCTAGTGATTGAGAAGTGGTGGAGGTGTTTCAAGTGTTTAGTTGCCAGATGGTGGAAGTCTTTCGTAGGTCGTGAGGTTTTGGAGGTTGTTTGCCTTCTGAAAAGCGGGGCAAAATACCTCCTTGTCAAACTTACCAGCCAAGTTGTCAAGTTGTTTAGGGCTGGCGCTTGTTGATATCAGGTGCCAACTTGCGAATTTGAGCGGGCCCCCTTTTTTCCCCGTCGTCGTTTTGGTTCCTTTGCTGGGTTGCACGTTAAAATCAGCCAACAAAGCATTGACAAGTCCCTTTTGCCGGGCGCAAACCACTGCACCCTTGAAAATATCCCGCTTTGAAAACGATGGGTTTCCTCTTGTGCGAGCAGTCTCGGCTTGCCCTGTTGATCCGACTGGGTTCTCTTTCAGAAAAGAGGCATTTCAACAGAAGCGGACCGCTCAAATGGGCACAATGGAACGGCAACCTGGTTGGTGCTTAACCCAGATCACCCATAATCAAGGTTTCTTTTTAAGGGGTAGCTCGCCCTCCAACGTTTTCCTTGAAACTGACCAGACTGACCCTGTCATCTGGGAAATGCCAGTGTTGAAGATGTTGCGACCTCAGTTTTTAGCACAAAGGCGGCGATGTGTTGATTCTGTGTGGGACCCGAGTGTTTCTCTTTTGAAATCAGCCAGCACCCTTCTTCATCCCCTTAGCTTTTTAGCCTTTTAGTGTCTGGTAGTTGGACCACCGCCCACAGCCGCCCGTGGGACGAACTCCATGTTTTGTTGTTTTTTTTGTGTTTGAACTCCATTTTTCAGTGTTTTTTGTGCTTTCTTGCTTTTTTGGTGTGGTGGGGTGGGGGGGTGGGGGGGGGGGGGTGGGGGGGAATGATTACGTCACTTATTCGAGTTTGCTTGACAAGAACTTCTTTATTTCCTGTTTCTGTGGGGTGTGTGATGTTCTCTGTTAGTGTGCTGAGCTGTCTTGTTTTGCTGTAGCTTGGTGTCAGAAGACGTTCGTCTAGCGTTTGCCTTCATCGTCTTGCTGCGTTTGGCTGGCGTCTCGCATTGCTTCTCCACACACTCGGTGCTGGGTCCTTTCTTCACTGTCTGGCTGCCTTACTTGGACTCTCTTCTGGACGTCGCATGCCAACCAGCGGACCCCATCTCGTCCTTTGTGTCTGCTGTCACGGTATGCCCACATAGGTTTCCGCTTGACTTTTCGGCTTTAGGCGCCTACGTTCCTTTCTTGTGGTCCACCTGGTGTGCATCCTGGGAGTTGTCATCTGCTGCGCCCTTGCTCTGCTTCCATCGGCGTGGCTTCTGCTTGTTGGGTCTTGTCTCGTCGCTTGTCTGGCTTCCGTCTCGTCGCTGTGGGTGAAGAACAGACTAAGGACCCCTCCCGCCGTCGGCTTTTGAAAAGAGAGTTCATCACGCGGTTCCCAGGCAACATGCGGTCTTCAACTTGCCAGTGTGTTGCCTGCAGCCGAAAAACCGACAAATATTTTTGGGGAATTTTGGGTGAGGAACAGACTAAGGACCCCTCCCCCCCGTCGGCTATTGAAAAGAGAGTTCATCATGCGGTTCCCAGGCAACATGCTGTCTTGAACATGGCAAAATCGTTGACACACGATAGTTGGGGGCTGGAAAAATGAGCTTCTGAAAGCAGCGTGCCAGTGGGATTCGGGAATGCAAGAAATTCCCCACTGTTTCGGCCATTTTACATGAGGGACCAAATCCTTGACACACGATAGTTGGGGGCTGTAAAAATGAGCTTCTGAAAGCAGCGTGCCAGTGAGATTCGGGAACGCAAGAAATTCCCCACTGTCTCGGCGCATTTTACATGAGGGACAGACGGGGCTCTCCTTTCCCCCCTGTAATCGCAGCTTCGACAGGTTGCTCTGAAGCCAAAAACGCACGATATCACACGGGCTACTATGGGCGGTGTACCTAGTTTGGCCTGGTTTCCTTGGACCGGGACGGAGCCGCTTGGACCAGGAGATGCACCAGGAACATCAACGCAAGATGAAGGCAAAGACGCCGGAGGTGCTGAAGGATGCTCGTTTCAGCTTTGGCCGAGGAAAACCCTTTGGCCGAGTTGCGAAAATGTTCGAGGGGACTTGAAGAGGGTTTCTACGACTCTCTGGGGTGTGGGGTCGGTTTGGGGTCTGGGGTGTCTAAATCCTGGATGTGTCTGGTGCGGGATGTCCTGAAATGTGGATTCAAACGGAGGACCAGTGAAAATGGTTGATTCTTGGTGGTTTGAGACGTGGGAAAATGCAGCCATTGGGTGGTAAGACATGCACGTGTGCACGCGGTTCTGTGCGTGCTTCCTGGTTCTGTCTGCTGGTTCTGTGTGAGTGTGGATGTGCGGATTCGTGCAAGGATTCGCTGATCCGATCGCGTAGATTTGCGCAGGGTTCACATGACCACATCGATTCGCATGTCGGTTGGTCGGTTTCGCAAACTTTGGCTGGCCCTGTGGAAACTTGCCTTCGCACAAGTTCGCCAACAATGGGTGAGTTCGCACGCATTTGCACAGGTTTTGTTGGGTTCGCAAATGTGCACTGTTGTCACAGGCCATTCTAGTCGATCAACAGTCCACCTGCCTCACTTGCCGGTGTAGAGATTGTGCATCCCAGAACCTACTTAGCATGTCGTTGGCTAACTCAGCTTTGCTGGCGACCTGACAATGATGGACCAAAGGGGGTTGGGTCCACAAGGGTGGCAACTATCCCAGAGCCGGACAAAGCCTTGTTCGGGCCTATGGGCTTCCGCGTACACCAAGGTCTTGGGCATGCCCCTTTTACACTCCCCCTCCCCTAGGTGTAAAATGAGCGTCAAAGGCTGGCAGTTCTTCACTGAACCCAAAGTGGTGAACAAGGGTTGGCATTTGACAGCCTGATTCTTCATAAACTTGTTTGCTTTGTGTGTGTGTGTGTGTGTTTTGCATGCGTTTCGGCAAGTGCGGGATGAGTGCATGCAGACGGGCGAGTGCACGCGCATCAGTGTGGTCTTTGTGGGTGAGCGTTCACCGCTTGTGTTGACCTCCGTAGATGAAGGCTCGTGACTGACAAGGCCTTTGTAATCGATACAAACCAGCATACAACAGTGGCCAATGCTGCATTCAGCTTGGAGGGACTGATGAGGCACCGCGTGAGTGCCATGTCAGAACCTTTCGGCCAGAACTACGGCATTGCTTGGCCATTCACTCTCTCGCCACAATCAAGTCATCCCTGGCACCAATCAACAGGGATTCTTGATTCCTTTCGGGCGCGAAACCTCACCTGTTGATCGGATTTTGGAGTGTCCCTTTCGGAAGCTAAGGACATCATGCTGAAGCACCATCGCCAGCATCGCAAGGACTCGCCTCCGCGGGGGGGCCACGAAAATCAGGAGCTTTCGGAGATTCAGCGTAGCCGCACCAAGTACCATTCTTCCATTTGCTGAAATGAATATTTGTTATTTATATAGCCTTGTTGGCTTTAAAATGAATTTATCACCGCTGGAAATGTGTTCTCATTTTTTCCAACCAAATGAATTCAAATGGAAGCATTGCCCAGGCGTTTGCCAAACTTGTTTGCCCCCTCTGCGGGTAGCGTGCGAAGCTCTGTGATGAACCACTACTTAGGACGACTTCTGCGGGAAAGGGCCAACACATGACCGGCAAGGGGCCATTGTTGGGTGCATATTCCTATCTGTTGCATATGACCGGATCATACACCCAGGATCCAGGGCCATGATCGCAGGGGGCTGTTCCAGGACTGGACAGCAGAGAAGCAGGCGCCGAAAGGCCCGAAGGAAAGCCTGGTGGAAAGCCTTGTGCCTCGCTCGCATCCATGTTCAAATCCAATTCCTATTGGCAGGGTGGTAGTACTTGGTTTCATAGGCGTTTGGTTTGTGTGGCAATGTGTGTTTTCGCATTTAAGAGTCGCGTTTTTTTTTGAGGGCACCGATTTCAGGTCGATTTGAGGAGAAACCACTAGGAAAGCCACCATGTTTGAGGTTCCGACCATGTAGAAACAGACCCCTAGTTCAGCAGGGTTTCTATTAACCCCTTTCTAAGAACCCCCTTTATCTGCTGTCAACTAGTCGGTGGTGTCCCATCCAATTCGAGCGGAAAGGGGTGGTGCGGCCGGTCTGGTCGGTCGCCATGCCGAGGTTCAGCGCAGCCGAAGCCGCGGAGGCAACGGCCAACAAGAGTTGGACAGCGCAGTATCCGCGAAGGTGCGGGAGGGGTCCGCGACCAAATGCGCTCAAGAAAACTATGGTTGTTTACATAAACCTTTTTTAGGTGTTCCTGGTTTCCCCTTGAAAACCATCCCAAAAAAGGGTGTGGCAAATTTTTGTCTATTGGTTTTACAGGGAATCTAGCTCCACTGGAATTGGTTTTCGACTTAAGCAAATGGAGAGGAGAGGCCGTGAAGGACATTAGGTTGGGCTTCTCTCTTGGTGTTGGATGCTCGTGTTGGATGATGTTGGGTGATAAATAATCGGTGCTTGGGGTGCCTACATATCAACATGTGGCGGGCCGGTTTTCTGAGACTGAGGCAGCATAGACTCCAAGCTGACATGTGTTGTTTATCCGAGTGTTGATTTGCGGGCGGCGCAGGAGTTCTCAACGGAAACTGCAAGGGCGATTGATATTGTCCTACCTGGTTTGGGGGTTATAGTAAGACCTATATAATCCTGAACAACAATCTGGTAGTTGTCCACTGCTCGCCTGATTTCGTATTAAGATATCTTTCCAGTCAGAGCCTCACCACCTTTGCTTACGGAAAGCACTTTCTTCGTGCTTCTGGGGGGGCAAGTACCGTTGGCTAGCAGGGTTGCGTTTGGAAATCATGAACATGCGGATCGGTTGCACAAAGAAAAGTTGGTGGCTGCGCTCCCCCCCTCTTGCAGAGCTTTGTGCTTATTCAGCGCCGCATGACTTTGGGAAGGCTGCCATTTAGCTGACAGTGGGTGTTTGTTCTCTGTGTGAGATGTATGCAAAGAAAACGTCATGAAAACGTCGCCCCTGTTTTTGGTTTCTGGCAGTGATGGCACAGTTCGTCAGAATCCCGGTTCCGGCCCCCCCTTTGGACGTGCGGGAGTCAGGCTGCAGCTGGTTTGAAGAGTAAAACCTACGATGCCACAAGGACAGCCACCAATGGGTTCCCGAATTCATTTTTAGAGCTGATGTCGAACACATGCTTGAGCCGATCACCTGGCCTCCGGTGGGTTGAGGTGGCCTGCCCCCCGTTGAAGCGCTTTAGCGAGCCAAAAACAGGTGCCCCCTGTTTTCCCGATGGCCACCGATCTGGGCAAGTGCAAGAAACGGTTCACAAGGCCGCTCGCGCCAGTGAAGGGCTGGGCAAAAAGAGAAGGAGCGACCCATCCTTACCGTTGTTCATGTGAGTTTCTTCTTTCCGGTTTGCACAGCTGTCAGAATAAGTGAGCATCACCCGGTCGCAAGGTCGTGGACGACGTCGGGGGCGCTTTCGAAGATGCGGGGAATGCCATTGCGGACACCGCCACGGATGCTTGGTTTGGCCCAACTTCTTTTTTCCACGCCAGGGCTGGGGATTTTGTGGCTAGACTTGGAGCATGGTTTGTTCCCCCCCCCACCAAAAAAAAAGTGAAAAAGAAATTGAGCCAGCTCTGATTGCATGGTGTCTTCCCTTGTTTACACTTTGTCCGAAGAGACGAGGACGTGGGGAACGCCGTTACAGATGGCACCGGGCTGATCGGAGACGCCCTTACAGATGCCTACACCCAGGCGGCCGACAAGGCGGAGCGGATCCGAGCGGGTGAAACGGGAGCTCGGGAGTCCGTTTCCTGGTTACCCCAGTTGGTTTCCATTTGCTGAAAAGAATACTTTTTCCCTTGTTGGTTTTAAAAGGAACTTGTCACTACTGGAAATATGTTTATTTTTGTTCTTCTTGGTCTTGACCAAATGGAAGGTTGGCTTCCCTTTTTTCCGGTAAAGCCATCCAATCTGAGGCTGTTTTGGGGGGATCCATTTATTTGGGTGCGTGTTAAACAGGTACCCTGTTTGAGGTTGGTTTAGAACAAGGCCGCAATCCATGGGGCGTCCGTCCGGAAGCCAATGCCGTAGGTGGCTTTTGTGGCCAATACCGTCATCAACACGGTGGAGCAGGCAGATCCGAGCGAAAGGAAACTGGGGCGAAAGGGGGCGGGGCGGGGTCTGCGGCGGAGCATGTGAGTTGATGTTTCATGGGAATATAGGAAATTCAAGGCGTTGCTGAATACAAATTCCTGGTTGAATCAAACAGAGATCCGCTCAATCAATGGAAATGGCAAAGTGATGGAGATGTGTTGCTTGGTTTTTCCAAGACCAAACATCCAGAATTAAATCGGACTGACTATGGGAACGGGTGCGTCCCCAACCGTTCTTGATCCCCAATCCTGAAGGTAGTGTCTAGCTGTCTACCGAAACAAGGAGATGTGTGCAGCCTTGTCATCACTTGCCTTGCAAAGTTGCTGTCAGCTGCGTCTGGCCAAGAGCGGGTGAGGATCTGAACTCGCTTCCTGAGTTCCTGGGCTTTATGTTTGGTGGGAAGACCAGTGTAGTGGCAAAAGCAAAAACAAGCTTGGATTTGTTTTGGCCAACTGAGAAGGGTTTGTTGTTTTAAACAAGTGCAAGGGACAAGATCTAAGGAACTGGTAAGCGCGACCATGTCGGGGGTCAGGTGGGGCGCTAGCCATCAAAACCTGGAGCGGGTTTGGGGACTACTGTGGAGCGTGCAGGCTGTGTCCATCTTGATCAACGGCTTCGACTTCAGCGCGGGATGTCCTCATTGGGTGTGGCCATCCTTGGCGGTGTCCGATGAGTCCATCAGCATCAACTTCGGAAGGCGGACGGGGCGTGTGTGATGGTTCCCAGCTAGCACTGGGAGCTCCTGAAAACTGAAAATATTTGGGAATCGCAAGGTGTGTAAAATTTCCGCCTTTTGAACGAAAACTGCTTGTTCAGTCTGGGAACATGAATTTCTGACTCCAGGCGTTTTTGGGGGAAAATGACTTTTTGCAAGGTCAAGCTGGTCGACTGATTTTTACCAACGGCGTTTTTCGCCAATCAAACGGCGTTTTTTGGCGATCAAACGGCGTTTTTGGCCGTTCACAGCAGTCCTTGAAATTTGACGAATTGCTCCAACGGCGTTTTGGGGGACAAAACACGTTTTTTTGCGGCAACGGCGAAAAATAGTGCAATTTCAATCAGCGGCAGAAATTCAGCACCGCCGGGCTTTCCAGGTATGATAGGGCTAAATAAGATTTGTTTTTGGCAAGCGGCATTTTTTTCTGACCGTTGGCAACTCAAACAAAGACGAGCCACCTGTGTCATGGCGCTTTCTTCTGTCTTCGCGCGGGGAAAAGTGTCCTCACCCTTTGGCGTGTAGAGTTCCGCTGGGGGCAAAAGGCCCGATGGAAGCCCTCAACCTCCATGGTGCGATCAATAGCCATGGCACCTATTTACCCAAAGTTGATTTTTGCAGACCGACCGTAGAACCCAGCTGCCGGGGGGTCCAAAATCTAAGCACTGCCTCGCGCGTGGCCGCTTTCCGAGAGAGGCAGAATTGCGGCGTCACCTTGGTCGGGCAGCACCTCACGCTCTTCGATTTCAACTGGGGCGTGCTGACTGTGGCCTGGCCCTGTTGCTTCTGGCCCGACAAAAATCAGAATGTGTGTTTTTCAGGCATCATCTTTGGCCAATTGGTCCTCAAGATTTTCTGGCTGGCGCCCAAAATGGTCCAATCAAAGGATGCTGCAGACCGGAAGTAACAAATGCTTGTTATTCTTGTTCAGGCAGGTCCATAGACATGTTCCAGAAGGCAGCTATTGTCGGATGACTTGGTGTTTGGGATCGGTTTGGGAGTGACAGAATGATTCAAAGCCCATCAGGTTGCCCCGCTTGATCACCGGCCAAACATTTACGCTAGATCTGATAGAAGTTAAGCAATGCACTTTGGAGTTTCATTCCACAGTTCATGCTTACGGTTTAATAATATATATATATAAAGAGAGAGATACAGTTCACCCAAATTGGTCAGGAAACTGGGGATTCATACTATTAGCTAATGCCTTTAGTACAGGGCCCCTCTTCTCTTTGCCCTTTTGGCTTCCCTTCAACCATCCAAAACGGTCACTGATTTTGGAACTCCGCGTTTGGGAACCCTATCTGCCAAACTGCGGCACGTTCCCAGGTGGCCTATCCGGCTCCCATCGCTGCCATGGTGGCTATGGGTCGGAACCTGGTGAATTGCATGACGCCTGCACCGAGAAAGATTGTATTTTCATGAACTAGTAGTTGCTTTTGGGGGGTATGCTCATGTGCGGTATGTATGCCTTTGGCCGGAAGAGTTGGAAATCCCGAAAGACGCGTTCCAGGTTCAACTTCCCGCCACTTAACCACCGAACGATTTTAGATATATATTTTTTCTAGGGAAAAGCGGGCCGGGGGGTGGGGGCGGGGGGGGGGCGGGCGGGGTGTTCAGACGAGGCCAGCCCTTGCGGGCGCGCCAGTTGTGGGATTCAACCCCAGCCTTCGCCCCAAAATGGTCCAGTTGCATCCCCAACCCACGTGGAGCGGAGCGGCTACAACCCTGCTCCATACCATCCAAAGCAAATCTCCAGCGGAAGAGCCTAGAACCCGGAACCAAGAAGTCTATCCAACAAATGCTACCCAAGAAGCCTGAACCGTCCGCGACCAATCCAGCAGCCCTTGGTTTCTCCCAGAACCACCCAGAACCTTCAATCAGAGCCCAACTCAAGCGCTGTCCTTCATTTGCAACCCTAGTTAGAACCTATCTACTTACAAATCCACTATTTCGGGTACTTCTCTAGGGTCTGACATCCCAATCGCAAAATCGTTAGAGATGGGTAGGTTGCAATCGCGGGCTTTGAGAATGAGTCGACCCCCATGAGCTCAGGACCAGCGGCGCTGGGGCCTTCGACATCTTCAAGTGCGTGGCGAAGACGATCGGGGAGACCCTCCTGCAGGCCTCGAACTCGAACTCGAAGCCACAAGGCAACCATTTGTAGGGATACCAACTCTTTTGGGGGAGGGGTTTTTGTTTCTGCTTTTCAGCGGGCTACAGAAAAAAGGGTACACGGTACCAACTGATTCTAACCTCTCTACTCGAGAAAACCAACTTTTGAGGCAGAGTTGAGGGATCACAAGGGGTTTATCCCCATTGTGATACAAGGGAGTCTCCTTCTTTATATGGGTGTGGCTCAAAATTAAACAGGAGGGGGCAAACCGCAGGTTTTGGTCCATGTTTCCACCCAGGGTTCCATTTTGGTACCGGTTTTTTGAGCCACAGCCATATGGGAGGGTAGTCTTTGGCAAGCCCTTTTTGTTGTATCACAGCCCTCTACCCATTTGGCATGCTCCATTTTGGGGCTTCACGAGCCGGCGGAAAGGTCAAACTCAAGGAAGCTGCAGGTGAGCTGATCACTTTGCTGTCCACTGATTAGGATGGGGCTTGAGCTAGGGTTCTCGTGAAGATGTTTGGAAACGGTTTCCCACCAAAGGTGTAGGGTGGTCCTTGGATTGCCTTGAACAAATCTTCCACTCAAAGGACACAGTTTTCTTGGCGCGATGCTGCCACTGAAATGCCTTGACAGTTCAATGAGCGCGCTATGCAGGTGGTTCCGCCTTTCAGCATCCTCACGCAGCTCTCATCGATGCTTGGCTCAAAGCGAATCGATGCGTCCCCCCACCCCCCATCCATCCCAACGGCTTGCCAGGGTGAATTAGTCGCAAAGCAAAAAGGCTGGTAAAACCAGACTGACGCACGAAACCGCCCCTTTAGAAGAAACCCAAAGTTGCGTTTCAGGAGGGGTGATTAGAAAAGGCCGTGTTGAAAAGGGAAGGCCAAAAGTCGTTTGAAATCTGTCTAGATAGCAGTGTGTGTTTTTCCCTTAAAGAAAGCCAGCTTAGCGGGTAGCAGCACCCTGAAACAACTCACCTTTCTGTTTGACCTTATAACTTAGAGCTGAACATTCCAGCGGAAGCCCCACAGGGGGAACCACCCTTCCTATCCCCAAAGCATGGAAGATCCCTCAAAGCCTAAATTCGCTTCCATATGAATTCACGGTTGCCGGATGTAGGGATCGCTTAAGAATCACACGACCGAGCCGGTCCCTCACCTGTTTGCCTCTCGGGTCGTTTCTGTTCTGGAACCTGAGGGTCTCGGCCACCTTAAGGGGTGCAGGTTTGAGTCTACCACCTGCTTGACTTTGGCCGAAGGAAGATAGCTGTTGAAGTCTTCAGTCCTCCGGCTTGCTCGAAAAATGGAATGGAGAACATATCTTATATTTAGCGCCACGGACAATATCGATTTGCGTGACTTTTTTCTATTTACCCCTTCATTTAGCGCCATGGACAATATTGATTTGCGTGTTTTCCTTCTATTTACCCCTTCTGTATTCATATGTTACCCCTTGCTTGAATGATCCCTACCAGCACCCAACTGCTTTTCACCGTGTCCAGAACCCCACGACCAACAATCCTTTTCAGCTACCAGGAAGACCCATCTATCTGGCTGTGGGTCAAAAATAGGTACCCCAAAATGAAACCCTGGTAAATGGAACCAAGGACTAAAACCTGCGGTCCATATATATATATATATATATATATATATCCTGGTGTTTTTATTTTGACCTATACTTGTCTTTCCAAGATTAGATGGCGCTGGTGTAGCTTTTTTTGTCATTCCATTTCCCAGGAAAACCCAACCCGATCTTTCCAAAAGTTTTGCCACGGCCTGGTGATGTCAACCGCAGGATGCTCTCGGAGTTCCTGGCCTTCTTCGCGGAGATGGCCTCCGCCGCCATCACGGGGGCCATCGGGGAGACCACCTCCATGGTGCAGGCGCGATGTGGAAAATGCCTTCCGCGGAGGTGGTGGTGGCAGTTGGTTGGTTGTGGCTTTGGGGTTCTTTTTGGTTGTTTTCTGGTTTCTTCACAGAGGGGTGTTTCTGGGTTTGGTGGGGAATCATCACTGCGGGGGAGCACCCCCCTTTAAATACTAGGTCCCCCAGCTAGGTGCCCTTTCTCTCCCAATTTTTTTCGGGGAGGGTTCCCCTACTAAAGTAGACTAGAGAACAAAGGAACGGTACCCTTATTCTAACTTGTCTACTGGAGGACCTAGTATCGGTTGGTTGCGTGTCTTTGGTGGTTTTTGGTTGCTCGGATTCTTTCGCAGAGAACTGGTCAGCCCCAGGCAACATATAGCAGTCAAGACTAAAGGCGTTTGTGTTGGTCTAAATTCGTAGCAATTCCATTGGCCCTTATGTTCAATAGTCCATTCACGGCCTAAGCATGTTTCCCCAACAGTTGAAAGCGTTTTGGATTTGGTCGATAGGCCCAGATAGCCTCGATCGGGGTGGTTTGGGGGAGCTTTCCGGCAGGGTTCAGAAACGTTTCCAGGACTTCGGGGGCTGTTGAAGAGTACCCGCTCTGCTTTTTGGGGAATGGTCCAAGCCCAACCGAACCGCAGATGGCCCATACCATCGCTTGTGGCATTTTTCGGAGTTTTGAATGGATCCCAGTTGAGCTTACCCCGATTCCAATTGGCCATTTCAGCCAGTGCAAAGGCAACCTCCCGCAAACACCTTCCTTTGAATGTCGCAGAACTTGGTTCTGTTTTTAACTTGAGCGTTCCTCCAACCAAAGAGGGTTCCCAAAGCAAAGACAAACCCCATTTGTATGTGTTTGTGTGTCTTTGTGTGTGTGTGTGTGTGTTTGAATTGTAACTTGACAAATCTGACGGGCGCAACCCCCAAAACCACTCCTCGAGTTGTCATGGAACCTCACTGGGGATTGCTGGCTGATGTGGAGAAATGATCTGCCGACACCTGACCTTCGCGAGCCGAGCCATGAAGGTTCTTGACAAGGTTTCCCTTTATTTGCTTGGGAATTATATCAATTTGGTTGGTTCCCTTATTTATTTGCATTTGGTTGATTTTATTTGGTTGGTTCTACATTGCCCTGAATCAGGGTGGAATTTGTAGTTGCCACTTTGTGCCAGGGAATCCTGTCTCGAGTGAAGTAGCCACGGATTCGAATCCCACTCAACCAGCACAGAGGCGATGTCTTCCCTGCCAGGAAGCTGCAAGCCTCTCGCAGTTCCCAGCCAAAGGCGATGCAGCTCGATCTTGATCTTTGCTTGGAGAGGGGGTGGCTTTAGATGGCCCAAACCTCATGCTTTACCCCATAGCAATGTTCATGGCACTGGGGGAGCTTTGCGGACAGGTGCAGCTCATGCATTCCCAAGAAATCCCTCTCAAGACGTGTCTGACTTGAGGGTACCCTTGGTGCATGTACCTCTTTTTTGGGGTTAGCCAAGATTTTTATTTGGCAAACCAAGGCAAGCAGCTCATTTTGATTTGAGGCTTCCCCTTGAGCAAGAAAACCTCACTTGTGAGCCGAAACCTCACTTGCGCAGGTTGGGGACCCAACCACTCCTAGCAAGAAAGGGGGCATCCTGTTTAAAATCAGCTGGAAAGGCAGCAAGCGCACAGGTTGTGGTGTTCCACAGCCCCTCTCCCAGGAATATCACTGGGTTTGGCCTTGACTGCACCGCGGCCGTGCCCTCCAAAAAACAACTGCGATCTTCTCTTTAGGCTTTAATGGCTTCACTCAAAGTTAGGTGAAAATCCTGAGCTTGACACTGGTGATTCCGTCAACTGGCTACTTAAACCAATTTACCCACTATGGCTGTGGTTTAAAAAAGGTGGTATCATTAATGGCACCTTGGTACGTGGAGCCAAAGACTAAAATCCGGCGTAACCCCAGCCAATCTACCCACTTGCTTGCGGAAAAGAACAAAAACGAGAGAAAAAAAAGGGGGGGAGGGGCAAAAAAAAGCGGAAAAGAAAAAAGATGCTTGGAGCTCCCGTTTCACCGGACCTCTCCCATCGGCTTCTGAGGCCCCGCGCCTGGTGAGCAGCCGCCGTGGCCTGGTGTCGCACGTGCGACGCCAGGAGACCTCGCGCAAGGTGATCCACAACAAGCCGCCTGGATGCACAATATGTCGACGAGGTCCCCCAGCGAGTCGTGCCCTTCTCTCCCAACTTTTTTGGTTGCCCCCTAAAATAGACGACTGAAAAAAGGGTACTCTTAGTCTAACCTCTCCTCTGGAGGACCTAGTCGATTTTGGGTGGGTCCTTGGCTCCTGGGTGAATTATAACGACCTCACACGACCGAATTCACCCCAAATTCACCCCAAATGGTGGTGTATGTGGGGAATAGCCCCCCAACCACCGCAAGCTTCAGGTTGGTGAAAAATTGATAATTCACCCAGATTTTAATGGGAGTTGTTTGAAGAACAAAAACACACACACAAACAAACACAAACACAAACACAAACACAAACACAAACACAAACACAAACACAAACAAACACAAACACAAACACAAACACACACCCACACCCACACCCACACCCACACCCACACCCACACCCACACCCACACCCACACCCACACCCACACCCACACCCACACACCCACACACCCACCCACCCACCCACGCACGCACGCACGCACGCACGCACGCACGCACGCACGCACGCACGCACGCACGCACGCACGCACGCACCCCCACACCCACACCCACACCCACACCCACACCCACACCCACACCCACACACACACACAGACACACACGCACAATTTGAACACTCCCAGTTGTTCAGAATGTGTCAAGACGGGGATTTGGACCCCCAAAGTTTAGGGGTGAGTTGCTGTTGGTTTCCCTCAACGAAGCCCAAAAAGATACTCTCAAAAAACAAACGCGTGCAAACAAGCCCATTTGTGGATCAGGTTTGGGTGGGCCGTCAGTTCAGGTTGGGTAGTTTTGGGTAGCCCCTCAGTTCGGTGGGCCTGCCGTTGGCTTGGGACCCAATTTCTCATGTCCTTTGGGGCAAACGCGTGCTCTCTTGGCGGCGTCTGTGCATTGTTGAGTGTTTTCTGTGGGATGGCTCAGAGGAAAAAAATGTGGGGATAGTTTGGGAAAGCCTGTGTTTAAAGATGCAGGGACGAAGTCCTTCAGCTTCAGGTTGTTGTGCTGCCGCTTCAACACCATTCAAAAGCAAAGCACATCCTTCAAAACGGCCAACCCATATGAATTGGGGGCTTTCCGGTGTGATCTTCTTCGGATTTGGCGAGTTTCCGGAACAAGATGTCCTATGGTGATATGTAAATGTCACCTCGCGGAAAGGCCGAGCTCAAGTGAGGCGTTAAGTTTGGTGGAGATCGAAGGGGGAGAAAATGGCTCTGTCTGATTTCTCATTTCTCGGGCGGCCCTATGGTTTTCTCGGCCCTTGAAAAGACCAAATGGGAAGTTGTCCCACCGAAACCAAATTGTTCCCAGCTCGTGCCTTCCATGAGGCCAAATCACAAGGGGCTGATTGGAAAATAGAAATCCATTCCGCCGCAGAGCTCGCCTGGAACCCACTTTCTGCTGCACCCAGGCGATAGAATCTGCCAACCCCGCCCCGCTCTTCCAACACAGGGGCTTCCCCTACTCATCCATGCTGTTTTCTTTGGGAAGCAACCGGGCAAGTAGACTTCCCCCAGATTTGCGCAGACTCAGGCGCTCCTCCTTGGCACAGACGAAGGCCGAGCGCACAGCGGCAAAGGCCGGCCGTTCCACTTGGGGGGGGTTGGCGCAAGCCTAAACATTTTTCCGAGGTTGTCTCACTCAAAAGTGAAAGCATCGGACTGAGGGGTTGGTCACCGAGCCGTTCCCTGTGGAGAATTCATAGCTGATTTCCCACTGGTACAGGCCCAGGCCATTCCCACACCCACCTCCGATTCTCGCTGGCGGCGTTCACCCTCCCCGAGTTGGAACTTGGGACCATGAACTCACGTCTTAGACGCTTTAAGGCAACAAGTGGCAAAACGTTTGGGCTTGGTCAAACAAACAGTTTGGTTCCTTCGATTTATGGACATGTAGTGGCAAACAAAAAGTTTGGTGGCTGTTTTCAGCATTCTCAGGCGTTGACCGTCCCTGCAACAGCAGTTGGAAAGGCCAAGTTCGCCTCAAGGTGATTGGTGACATATGAATCTGGTCGCAAAAAATATGGGGGTCGCGTAATGCAAAGTCACAGCCAGGTCTTTGCCCAGAACCCCCATCCGTGTTTCTTCGAGACCACATGGGCCACAAAGGGTTCGTCTGGCAACTGGAACCCTTAAAGTCCGAGGCACATATCCATCACTTCAACAGGGGGCTAAAAAAGGGAATCTATCACAAGTAATCCGAATTTTCAGAGGACTCAAGCAAATGGACGCTTGGGCTCAAGCATGGGCTCCCAGCGAGCCTCAGGCAAAGGAAGAGCCGGACACCGTGGTGGGCGAGGGCGCAATTGGTTTTGGAACCACAGAGGCGTCTCTGTCGAATCGAGTCATCGAGTTGTACCGGATGTGTCCAGTGGGTTTGTTTGTTTGTCCCTTTTGTTTTGTGTTGTTCTGTTGTGTTCTTGCTTGCCCGCCTGCTTGCCTGCCTGCCTGGCTGCCTGTTTGCTTGCTTGCTTGCGTGCTTGCTAGCTTGCTTGCGTGCTTGCTTGGTTGCTTGGTTGTTGGGTTGTATGTTGCCGGTTGGTTTGGTTTGGTGTGGCTTGGATCGCTTAGTGGGCTTGATTGTGTGTTTGTTTGTTTGTTTGTGTGGTTGTGTGTGTGTGTTGTTTGCGTTTGTTGTGTATTTCTCTTTGTGCTTGTGTGTTTTCGTTATTCTTGTTCGTTCGATGGTTGGCTTGGTGGGTGGGCTGGTTGTGGGTATCGTTTGGAGGTGGTTCAAGGGAATCCGAAGCACACACCGCCCAAAACAGGAGGCGAAACGAAAGCGACAGGTACAGACCGCCCGGTACCGATGCTCCCGCATGGGTTGGTTTTTTGGAAAGGGGAAGCCGTCCCTTTGTGGGATGCCCGTTTGTAAAGCCTTAAGTGGGACACCGCGGAAAAAATCCGAGTTCTTGTGCAACAAAATGAAGGATCTTGCGGATTGCCTTCGGAGTGTTCAGGATATAGGCCCAGTTTCCCATAAGGGTGTGTCTTTTTTTGGTGGTTCCCCCGTTTTGGGGTTGGTTTGAAGGGAACCAAAAATGGACACCCACCATTTTGGGGTGGGTTCCCTATGTTAAGACACCCCCATCTTCCTTGGGGACCCAAGCGCGGGGTGTCCTATGCGAAGGCGATGCCCTATGCCTCGATGCTCATCACGCAGTTCGGTGGCGACGAGTATGACTCAGGCCCCTCGAAAGCGGTTCCGTCCTCCAAATTTGGCTGTGGTCAAAACCGCTTTGGATTCCCATTCTGGTTGGTAGGTGAATTCACCACCCATTTTAGGTTACCTTTTTTAGTGGTTGGATTGGGATGTTCACTAGGGTAGGAGGATTTTGACCCATGGCCGTTTCTCCACTGCTGCGTGTTCCTAAGGCCTAGCTGCTTATTTCGGGGGAATAGGGGGAAGGGGTTCGGGCAGAATACCCGAATGTTGAGACAAGGCCATTCTCGTTGGACTGCCTCGCTACCAAAGCGAATGGACCGCATCACAGACCTTTTTTTTGCCAGCTGGTTTGACTCAGTGTTCCACAAGGTGAGCTATTTATTTTCATGGCCGGAAAAATTGGCGAAATGAGGGTCCATTCAGTTCTGGGCCTGACCAATGGGAGCCGATGGCGTTGAAAGGGAAGCCAAAAACACCAACCACTTTTTTGGAGTTCCCAATGTGTGGATACACCTTGCTTCAGCAAGCAACCAGAACTGGCCTAAATTTAGGACGCCGCATCGGCGCAGCATGTTGCGAAACCGCGGTCCCTGCAAAGGAAAATCGTCCAGTGCCTGGGTTCATATTGATCATTTCGTTGGGGAGCAGGCTTAGATGAATCCCTCACCTGAAAGCGAAGGACAGCTCGGCAAGGAACAGGTCGCCCCAAAAGTGCGTATCCATGGAGTGTGACAGGGCCCAAAAAAAGGAGCGCCTGCGCAAAGGAGGCATGCTGGGGTTCCTTTTACAATCCTCAAACGGACACCACCAGAGGGACCGCTACCCACCAAAGACGCGGCCCAACATGTCGTTGCATACATCAAACTGAGACAAACCCTTACCCCAAAAAAAGGTACCACTTTTGAACCATGCTCAATAAGAAACTGGTCCAACACGATTTGTGCAAATACCAGTAAACCACCACGAGCCCTCAATCCTTATTCAAATTGACACAAACCCTTAAACCCGTCCAAACCATCAATCAAACCGCTTACAAACCACGCACGGCCCCAACCCTCCAAAAACGGTTCCACCCCAAAATTGAATCAAACAAAAAAAGGTGCTGCCCCCCCCCCCCCAAAACAAAAAAACACTAGTAGCCCAAAACAGGCACACCCCACCACAAACCGGCCGCACCTCGAAAAACGCCGAGCCTCCTGCCTGGCCTTCGCGCCGGCGCACCGCACCGGGGCCAACGGCGGAGTCACGATGAGGGACTGGCAGGTGCCCAGCCCCGCGCCTCTCTCGAGAACGAGCGTCTCAAGGGCCACCATCCACCCGGCTTTGGGGATATGCAAAAAAAGGGTGTTCCTTTTGGTGAAGAGATTTAGCCCCCAACATCCACCTCTTTTGGAGCGATGTCAGAACATGTTTTTCCTTTTGGTGGCTGGTGATCTTTGAAGGGATTTGGAGACCCAGTTTTCCCTTTTGCGGTGAAAGTGCTATTGTTGGAAGTTGACTGGCCATGTATTCGTGGTGTTCATTTTGTGCTTCCCAAGTTGGTTCAACACAGCCTCCCTGTGGCAAGGGCTTCTTCCTGGGCCCGGGAAGGGTCGTTTTGTTCAGTCAGGCTGTGGCTGGGGTTCATTGGTCGAGGGCTTCATTGGGCCTGGCTGGCCAGTGTCACAAGCTTGAAGCCCTACCAGCTACACATCAGCAATCCTAGGTCCTAAGTTTCTGGACTTCATACTATTTCTTTCACAAAACCATATGAGTGGCAAAAAGCAAAGCGTGGAATCCCAGCCTTTGTTTATCGTCAGTAGCAGCAACCCTGAGGCTCCAAGCCCTTGGTTGTGGCCCCTGCCAAAGTCGGCATGAGCCATGGTATCACAGCAAGCGGACACGGTGTGCATTGTTCAAAAGCAGGGGGGTCATGCACCAGGAAACATAATAGGCACCGAGGTTGTAAATCAGAAGCCTTGCTTTTTGAGCAGGCCTCAAGGCGCACAGTGGCGCCCCTTGCCCTTTTCTGTTGTGGTTCCCCACTCAAAATGGTCTTCTACAGGCTTCACTGTTTCTTCCAGGGTCACTTGGCAGCTGGATGTGTCATCTTGAGGCATTCTGGTTTGCTTCATTGCTCCACAAATCTGAGTTCCACTGTCAATCCTTCACAGGGGCAAAAGGGCACACTTTCTCGAGATTCTCCCTGATCCGCGCCTTTTCCTTCACTCTAGCCTTGAGCATGTGTTCCCCTGCGGCGGCCACATGTGAGCTGTCGCTCTGTGGGCTTCAACACTTTTCTGGGGTATCCAAGATCATGCCCTACTTCCACGGATTTAATACGAGGTCGACTCCCAGAAACCTCTTGGCGCACTCAAGCCCACCCCCCCCACTCCCGCCCCCCCCCCACTCCCGCCACCCCGAGGACAGCCCGGACTTTGTGAAGTTGGAGCCGTGGGGTGTGCCCTGCGCCTTGGATTCTGCGACCATTGTGGTCCAAGACATTTGACCATGGTTCAATACCAATGGTACCATTTTGGGATAGGTGCACCACCCATGTTAGTCTATTTTAGCGGGGATTGGGATGTTCACTGGAGGTACGGGGCTTTGACCCATGGCCACTTTAAGTTGGATTCCCGAAAAATATGTGGGGTGTTTTTTCTCTTTCACCCATTTAGGGTAACTTGTTTCAGCCTGTCACTTTAATGGATCTGGCTTCAGGATTTACGTTGATTCCGATGACGCAGGGTGGCTTTAACCATTTACCAGTCCATTTATCAACACGGACACCTAGGCTTGGATGTTTGATGGGGCGACCGGAAGACGAGTCGGTTTTCTGTTGGCATGCGAACAGAGTTGCCCTTTGCGAATCGACCAGAAAGGAGGTTTCAGGTTGTCTCTTTGGGTCTACTTTCTAGGCACGCCGAAAGGTGTGCCAATTGTCTACTTTGAAACCCAGACCTCTGGGGCTGTTTCTTTTTTGCAAAGGGGTTCCCCGTAAACATCAACCAAGAAAGGCGCCTGTTTGCCCACGGCCGCATCACTGGGCTCACACACCTTGGCATGTTCAAAATCAAGATCTCTCGGCCGAGGTGATAACCAATGGGCCAAGGACAACCCCGGCAAATGGGAGGGCTACTCCTTCTATACCTACGAGTCCGTCATCGAGAAGTGCGTGGCGATCTCGTACAGCATGTCCGCCCAGCCTGCCGCCCGGCTCAACAAGAAGCACGTCTTCCAGGAACTTGGCGATGCCCTCCTGGATAAAACACGTTACCCCTAAAAAGTACCCGACCGTGTTGTTGTTTGAGGGAAGAAGCAAACCCTCCAGCAAGGGAATCCAAAACGAAGCATCGGTTCCTTGAGAAATCCTTCAAGAGCCCATGCCTCAACAAAAGCCTTTTGGCGCCTCCAGCAGCCCGTTGTTTCTTTGGGAAACCAAAAGGTGTTCTTTGCTGGCCCCTGATCACCCTCCCGTGTTTCAGGAAAGCAGGAAGCCGCAAGCAAACCAGTGGATTCTTGAGATTTCGCAAGTCCGGAAGCCCTCTCAGGTCTACAATAAAGAGTGGCATCTAAAGCCTCTAGCCGTTTTTGCCACGACCCATCCACAAAAAAAAACAAAAAAACGGCAGCCCTCCGTGGATTGTCTCCCTTCGGTCCGGGTGTCGAATCGAGGTCCTGGCCTTCGTGGGGGGCTTGGAGTTCGACCTCATGCCGGCGCCTTTGATGGAGGTCACCACCGAGGTCTGTTGGCCGGACCGCGTGAGCGCGCCGGACCTCAGCCTCATCGCGCCTCGGCTTTGGCTTCGGTTTCGGATGGGCCCAGCGGTCTTCAGGGAGACCCAGCGGCGCAGCGTAGTATCCCCTTTTCAGGCAGAGAAGAAACGAAGCCTCCTGTCCAAATGGGGCCAGCTTAAAGGAGCTTGGCCTCCAGGACCCCTCAGGCAGGTTCCATGGTAGCAAACAGGAGGGTAACTTGTGATTTGCCAAACAGGAAACCAAGAAACTCGGAAAGGACAGTGAAATCTTGTTTCGGATGTTTCTCAAATGGTTTCCTAGTGTGCATTAAGACCATCCAAGAAGGGGAGGTTCTAATTTTGAGACAGACCTGTTCAACTGAAAATCAAGATTTGTGATGTGGTGCCATGTTGGGTTGAGTTGAAAGAAGCAATTTGTTGGTATTATTTACACGCTGACGCGACACAGCCGGCCACCGGGCACCTTGCCCTGCCCGTTCTGTCACTTCCCTTTCCTGTAAGTCCGATCAGTAGATGTTAAGATTTTAAAATTCGAAAAACTTTGAGATTCTAAGGGTCTCAGATTTGAAGACTTTCGGAATTTAAGGTTTCAATGGTTTAAGAATTAAGGTTCTGGAAGGTTATAACAGGCAGGCCATTGCCCAGCCATTTTCCATCCATTATCAGATTTCGAAGGCTTTAATATTTTTGTGAGATTTTCAGATTTGGCGACTTTCGGAATGTAAGATTTTAAGATCTTAAGATGTCAAGACGTCAAAATTTCAAGATTAAGAGTTTAAGGAATTTAAAATATAGCCCGGATTGACGGAATTTTATTATATTTTACTTGTTTATGAACTTAAGATTTTCAGATTGCAATAGTTCGAGATTTAAAGAATTTAAGTTTTTGAAGCTTTTAAGATTCTGAGATTTTAAGATTTTGAGAATTTAGGAATTTCATATTTTAAGATTTTAACATCTGAAGTTTCAAAGACATGAGGGTTTTAAGAAGTCAAGATTCGAAGACTTTAGGATGTTTATATTTTCAGGTTGTAAGATTCGATCTTCTAAGGTTGTAAGTTTAAGATCTTGAGGTTTCAAGATTTCCAAATTTCAAGAGTAAGAGTTTAAGGAATTTAAAATATAGCCCGGATTGAAGGAATATAATATTTTAATAATTTAAGATTTTCAGATTTCAATTGCTCGAGGTTTAAAGAATTTAAGTTTTTAAAGCTTTTTAAGATTCTGAGATTTTAAGATTGTAAGACTTTAGGAATTTCATATTTTAAGAGTTTAAGATCTCAAGATTCTAAGACGTAAGGTTTTTAAGATTTCAAGATTCGAAGACTTTAGGAAGTTTTTATATTTTCAGATTTTAAGATTCTAAGTTCCTTCATTTTAAGATCTTGAGATTCTAAGATTGACTGTTAGATTTTAATTTAAAGATTTTAAGAATCTAAGACTTTAGGATTTTGAGATTTCAATCCAGGCCATTTTCAGGTTGCACGTTTTCGGCAAAAATGGCAGCCCCAGCCGCCGACCATGGAGGACCATGCGCATACGTTTTGTGCTGGGCCTGCCCTTATAAGGGGCGAAGGATTCGCGGATTGTTTCAGGCGATTTTTGGTGCCTTTTGCGGAGTCAAAAAAACGAGTGTTTTTTTGGGGTGCCCATAGTGGACAACATCCCCGGCATCACCTGCATCATCCGCATCTTTGGCGGACATTGATGCGGATGATGCTGGTGATGCGGGGGATGCTGGGGATGTTGTGGGGGAAGTGCCCAGATTGATTCCCTGCTGGTCCCAGTTTGGTGGGGGAAGTGCCCGATTGATCCCCTGCTGGTCCCAGTTTGGTGGGGGAAGTGCCCAGATTGATCCCCTGCTGGTCCCAGTTTGGTGGGGGAAGTGCCCAGATTGATCCCCTGCTGGTCCCAGTTTGGTGGGGCGCGGCCTTATACCTGAAGGTAAGCCCTAGCGGGCTTTGGCCTGCGGCCGGATCACGTCCGGTGGCCGGATTTACACGCTGACGCGACACAGCCGGCCACCGGGCACCTTGCCCTGTCCGTTCTGTCACTTCCCTTTCCGGTAAGTCCGATGAGTAGATGGTAAGATTTAAAAATTCTAAAGACTTTGAGATTTTAAGGGTCTCAGATTTGAAGACTTTTGGAATTTAAGGTTTCAATGGTTTAAGAATTAAGGTTTTAAGATTCAAAGATTTAAGGTTTTTGAAGGTTATAACAGCCAGGCCATTGCCCAGCCATTGTCCATCCATTATCAGATTTCGAAGGCTTTAAGATTTGATTTTTTGTGAGATTTTTAGATTTGGCGACTTTCGGAATTTAAGATTTTAAGATCTGAAGATGTCAAGACTTCAATATTTCAAGATTAAGAGTTTAAGGAATTTAGAATATAGCCCGGATTGAAGGAATTTTACTATATTTTACTTGTTTATGAATTTAAGATTTTCAGATTGCAATAGTTCGAGATTTAAAGAATTTAAGCTTTTGAAGCTTTTAAGATTCTGATTTTTAGAGTTTGAGAATTTAGGAGTTTCATATTTTAAGATTTTAACATCTGAAGATTCAAAGACATGAGGGTTTCTGTCACTTCCCTTTCCTGTAAGTCCGATGAGTAGATGTTAAGATTTAAAAGTTCTAAAAACTTTGAGATTCTAAGGGTCTCAGATTTGAAGACTTTCGGAATTTAAGGTTTCAATGGTTTAAGAATTAAGGTTCTAAGATTCAAAGATTTAAGGTTTTTGAAGGTTATAACAGCCAGGCCATTGCACAGCCATTTTCCATCCATTATCAGATTTCGCAGGCTTTAAGATTTTATTTTTTTGAGGTTTTCAGATTTGGCGACTTTCGGAAGTTAAGATTTTTAAGATCCTAAGATTTCAAGGCTTCAAAATTTCAAGATTAAGAGTTTAAGGAATTTAAAATATAGCCCGGATTGAAGGAATTTTATTATATTTTACTTGTTTATGAATTTAAGACTTTCAGATTGCAATAGTTCGAGATTTAAAGAATCTAAGTTTGGAAAGCTTTTCAGATTCTGAGATTTTAAGACTTTGAGAAGTTAGGAATTTCATATTTTAACATTTTAACATCTGAAGATTCAACGACATGAGGGTTTTAAGAAGTCAAGATTCGAAGACTTGAGGATGTTTATATTTTCAGGTTGCAAGATTCTATCTTCTAAGGTTGTAATTTTAAGATCTTAAGGTTTCAAGATTTCAATAATTCAAGATTAAGAGTTTAAGGAATTTAAAATATAGCCCGGATTGAAGGAATGTAATGTTTTAATAATTTAAGATTTTCACATTTCAATTGTTCGAGGCTCAAAGAATTTAAGTGTTTAAAGCTTTTTAAGATTCTGAGATTTTAAGATTGTAAGACTTTAGGAATTTCATATTTTAAGAGTTTAAGATCTCAAGATTCTAAGACATAAGGTTTTTAAGGTTTCAAGATTCGAAGACATTAGGAAGTTTTTATATTTTCAGATTTTAAGATTCTAAGTTCCTTCATTTTAAGATCTTGAGATTCTAAGATTGACTGTTAGATTTTAATTTAAGATTTTAAGAATCTAAGACTTTAGGATTTTGAAATTTCAATCCAGGCCATTTTCCATCCACTTCAGATTTTAAGATTTTCAGGTTGCACGTTTTCGGCAAAATTGGCCCGACTTAGGCGACAACATCCCCAGCATCCCCCGCATCGCCAGCATGCATAGCATCATCCGCATCATCCGGGATGATGCTGGCAATGCTGGGGGTGTAGTCCAGTATTAGGCACCCCCTAAAAATACTCGTTTTTGGACTCGTTTTTGGGAGATGCTACAAAAATGTTCGAAAATCGCCTAAACCAATCCGCGAATCCTTCGCCCCTTATAAAACCCGGCCCACCACAAAACGTATGCGCATGGTCGGAGTGGGGCGCGCGGCCTTATACCTGAAGGTAAGCCCTACCGGGCTTTGGCCTGCGGCTCGATCACGTCCGGTGGCCGGATTTACACACAGCCGGCCACCGGGCACCCCTTCCCGTTCTTTCATTTCCTTTCCCTCCAAGTCCTGTGAGTTGTCGGGATGATTTGAACTTCACTTCCTTTGCATGTCTTCCCTGACAGTTTCCTGGCATGTCCCTTCACTTCCTTCCACTATTTTCCATGCCCTCTTCATTTTCGTGCAATTCCTTTGACATCCATTTACCAGACATTTTCGATCCATTTCCATTCACCTTTCCCTTCATTTCCCCACACGTCCCTGACCGGCGTGGACAGCACCCCCTGCATCGACTGCATCATCCGAAGCAATGTCCGCCATGGATGCTCAATTGTTGCACCCTGTTGCAATCCCTTTTCCATTCATTCCATCAATGCATTTTCCAGGAACTTTCCATCTCGTTGCCGCAATATTGATTCAAAATTGCTCCATGGTTGACTCTTGTTGCCGCAATATTGCAACAAAGTTGCGCGCCACTTGCCTGGCATAGAAGCCCCCGGCCGCGCCACCTGCGTGGCATTGAAGCCTCTGCCGCGCTACCTGCCCGGCATCGGAGCCACGCCAGTTCTCAATCCTGTCACCCCAGGATTGCTCCCTTCAATCCTGTTGTCACCCCAGGATTGCCTCCTTCAATCCTGTTGTCACCCCAGGATTGCCTCCTTCAATCCTGTTGTCACCCCAGGATTGCCTCCTTCAATCCTGTTGTCACCCCAGGATTGAGGGGAACTCCACGCGGAACTCCACGCGGGCAGCAACCAAAAAATGGTTGGTGCCTGTTTCCAGTTCCGAGGCACTTCGAAAACACAAGTGGCACTTGTGTTTTCGAGCATCACACTCCTTCATTTCCATCAATTCATCCTTTTTGTCCATCCTTTTTCCAGCCCATTCCATCCAGCCATTTCCCATGAATTGTTTATTCGCATTCCTTTCCCTCTTCGTTCCCGCTGTCCGGTTCTTCACGTTCTGCCCGTGCATTTTCCTGCATCTCGGTTTCTGCGTGCAAACTTTCATTTCGTTCACTTCCAGTCACTCCTGTTTTCTTGCATTTCCC